CCAGTTAAATTTGAATTTCAGATAAACAGTGAACAGTCTTTTTTTAGGATAAATATGATCTATACAACATTGGGGACATATTTGAGTTTGAAATGCCCTGAATGTGTTTAAAGAAATAAGTTGTTCTATAAAAGTTTAGGGTTTATAGAGGAAGGCAGTGGGCAATAATGTGGGAACGACATTTTGGTCATATACAGAGAGTCTTAGATTGCAGACAGAAGAATGAAAATGAAACTTTATGGGGATTGTGGAACACTTTTATTTTTAAAAATGGGGGTGATATGGGGGTGATATGACTTGACATGCACTGTAGGAAGAATAACATGGCAATGACGAGAACAAGAAAAATTTAGGTAGGAAATTGGCCAGGAAGTGGTAGATGATGAGGATCTTAATTTAGGTGATGAAGTGGTTTGGCAATGGAAATGGTTGAGATACAATGCAGTAGAAGCATCAGATCAGACTGGGGACAAAAGAGGTACAGGGTCAAGGATGACTATAAGTTTATGCCTGTTGACTGGGAAGATGGTGATTTTTGTTAGCAGCTATGTAAGGAGGAGGACCTGGCTTTAGGAAAAGCAGATATGAAATAGGGGTCATGTCAGGAGGAACCGGTTGGATGAGGGTCTACATAGCGATTCTCAGTAGGCAATTACAAATATTTTTCTGAACTCTTTAGTTTGGGATTTTAGATGTTTAAATTGTTACATGAATGAGTTGGGCAGACCTCAGGGAATCCCTCTAGCACATAGTTAGAGGCAAGAGAAGAACCAAGGAGAGAATAGCAAAAAGACCAGTAAGAATATGAATAATGAAAAAACTACACTAGGTCCTAGGAATTCTGAAGTCAAGGTCAGTCATCACTCTTAAATCATCCGAAGAAGTCAAGAGTATAGATTGAGAACCAGCAATGGTGCTGGTGATTTTTGACAGAGCTGTTTTAGCAAAACAGCTTGAGTGGGAGCCGTAGTTTCAGAGACTGAGGAGTAAATGGGTGGCGAGGGGGTAGAGGAAACCAATGCTGTAAGAGTGCTGGTGCTTAAGGACCAAATTGAGGGGAAGGAGCAACAGAGGGGGAAGAATGATTTACTAAAAGAAAGGAGCAAAGTCTGGAAAGAGAGGAGCAATAAGATTAAGTGCACCTGTAGATAAATTAGCCTCAGAAGGAAGAGAAAGCCATAGTGAATGGAAGGGAGGAGAGGCAGAGGGCTAAGGGTTTGATATGTGACACTGAGGGACTTGGTTGTTCAGTCTCCATGTTCAAGGAAGACAGGAAATGACATTAGGTGCTTTAAGAGCAGCAGGACGGAGGGGTCACGGAACATGGACCGAAGTTCTGGTCTCCTGTCTTATTTTATAGCCCATCACAGACATCTTTTATTTAGATCCCCAGCAAAGTGGAAGAGGAAGTAATAGTGGCTGCAGGGTTATTCCTTGGTGTAACGCATTTTGTCACAGCAGGGGTAACCCAAGAGCAGCAAGTATAAGGAACGGAGATTGTTTTTTATTTTACTGAAAGCCTGTTGCACAGGAGCCTGGCTCCTTCAGAAGTACCAGACCCCCATCAGACACCACTCTGTCATTTGGAGTGTTTGCATGACGAAGTGACATCCCTTGGGTATGAAATCTGATTTGACATAGTTCTCAAAAACAGTGAACAACTGAACTTTTCCTGTGGTTTTATATAAACTAAGTTTTAGCACTGTATATTGAGTTTGATTATAGTAAAAATTTTATTTAGTTTGGTGATATGGTCTTATGATTATGAAATACCTAGTTAAAGGGGCTTTCAGGAACATTCAGAAGGTCCCACTGGTGCTGTCATTACTATGAAAAATCCATTAGTGCAGTTTCATTTTGTAATGAGCATTAGCTGGACTTACAGAAGGGAATAAGGCAAGAAGTTTCATTCTCCTGATTACCTGTGTCTAAAGTAAGCACAGTTATAAATATGCCCAAGCACATGTTGATATGGTAAGGATTTTCTAGTACATATGCTGAAGAAGTGATATATGGCAGTTATTCTTGAAAAGGCAAATAAAAAGGAAGAAGTGCAGACTGTCATTTTTAAGATTAAGAAATATTATTTCAGGGGAATTAAAATGAACGTGCCTTAATACATAGGATCCTAGAAGCAATGGGTTTAGATTTGGAAGGGAATTCAGTGATAACTCTACTCTCTTCCCTGTAAACTGGGGGAATCTGTAGCCCAGAGAGATGAAATGGCTTTCTGAAAGGCAAAGGCCAGTTCCGCTGCAAGCCTCTTGACTCAGAGTCCCAGGTGATTTCCACTCTGCCATAATCACAAATTTTACCAGTCTTCTGGAGGTCTAGAGCCATGAGTTTATGGCACATACTAGGCACTCAATAAATGTTCTCTTCAGTGAACAACTGTGCTCTGCTCTGGTCACTCACTGACACCCCTGGGAGTTAAGGAACCACCTTCTCCATGCAGTTTTTCCAGTACTTAGTAAGGTTATATAAGCACAATTACTTCATAAATATATGTATTTAGAATTTGCCATGTATTAACATATTCACTATTTCATAAGAGTTTTCCAGTTATGAATTGGGGGGTTATTAGCTCATTATTCCAGATAATAAAGCTAAGACTCAAGAGAGTTATATAACTTGCTCAAGGTCAAGCAATCAGAAAATGGTAGAGATTACACCCAGTTTTGGCCCTCTGACTCCAGATGTCATGCTTTCTTTGCTGTACTATGGTTTCTCCAGGGTATTTATAACTTCTAAGGAAAAGAAGAAGAGTAGGGAGGAGGACAGGGAAGGGGAAGCAGACCACCAGAAGTGGAGTGAAGCTCTAAGGAGAAACCGGGGCCAAAAAAGAGATCAGAGCCCAGATAGGAGAGGAAGAATTTGTGCTTTGGTTTTTGCAGGCTCCAAGCTACAAAGTCCTGGATGGCTCTGAAGAGGAGAAAGCAATGTCGTACAGCTTGGAAGGAGCTGCTGACTTCCAAGTGCATTTGAGAGGCAGTGAGGTGGCAGAAGCACAGGTCTGGAAAGCAGGGGACCTGGGTTTTAGGCCCAGTTCTGCCCTTGCCTTGTTATGCCCTTAGATAAGGCCCTTCCCCCTTTTGTGCCTCAGTTTCCTCAGTTCAAAATGAAGTGTGTTTAGCTTCATGGTTCTCAAATATTTTTCTTCCTTGCATCATTCCCATTGGTGGAGACTGTAAGTAATTTGAGGAATGCCTAAAGTGAGACTCTGAAACTGAGAATGCAATCTATACTCTCATTTGCAAAAAAATCATAGTTGTCTATTTTTTTTTAATAAAATATTTTTTACACACTCGACTAATTACATTAGTGATTATACATGTTGTGGTTGATTAGCCTACTCAGTTGGACAACAGAATTATCCTTCACAGCATTTTTAAAAAGTAATTCATCCTTTTACACCTTGATTGTATCTGATAGAAGTTACCCAGGCAACAGAAAGAATTTCAAATGATTTTCAGAGAATGAAACATTACTAATGAACACCATTGATCTTGAATCGGTAGATTTTTGTCTGTAGGAGCTACCAATACCTCAAGGGAACTATTAGTTTATTTTAATATTTTTTTCTGAGAGACGTTTTTAGATCAGAGATTTTAAACTAACCTTGAAAGCTTTTGAGTTACTGAAAGAATGGTAAAATTCCAAAGATAATTTTGCAACCAATGCTATTTTACTGTGAAATTGAATACCTGGGCTATCAACCAAATAGCCAACCACTGGATTAAGTTCAGTAGTCTTATTACAGATGTATTTTTTCATTTGCATATTGTTAGCTCAGAGTTTTAGGTTGGTGCTTATGGTGTATGGAAGAGTTTTAGTGGTCTTATGAACATCTAAAATGATAGTACTATTTGGAGCATATATAATTTTGGGGATATGTACTATCCCTCAACTTCTCAAAGGGATCAGAAAAGGCGACAACAAGGGTTCAGGAAACATCACTTACATAGCCTACAACACATCGCAATTCAGAGATTTCTTTGGTGAAACTGGAAGCTGATTTCAATTGTAGCCTAAAAATTTTAATAAACCCTTAACAAAATGAGACTTAACAATAGACCTTACTAAGTAATATGTGATATATCTTCCATACTGAGTCTTAAAAACTCTAATAAAACAAACCCATTATGATATGGCATACTGCTGATATAAATTAAAGACAATCTATGTTAATTGGCTAAAATATTTGATAATTTTAAGATATTACTTCTTCTCAGATTTACCTATATACATCCCATGTACTTTTATTGACAATTTCCAGCAGACATTTCTTTGGTAGAAATTGACAAGTTGATTCTAAAAGTTATAAGAAGGTGCAAAGGACCTAGAAAATCCAGAGGAGTTTTAAACAGCAAATACAAAATTAGAGGACTTACATACATTATTGACCTAATGACTTACCTACCATATTGCTATGGTAATTAAAATAGTGTGATACTGCATAAGGATGGACAAATAAAACAATGAAACACAATAGAACCTAGAAATAGAACCTTCATTTATGCAGTCAAAGGTACCAAAACAATCTGATGGGAAAAGAAAAATTTCATATTTTCCTATTTTTTTGAAATACTGTTTGCCAATTCCCTTTCATAATCAAGTAGCTATTCCCAATACCTAGAACACATTTCAATTCAGCCTGGACAGCTCTGAGATAAATCAAGCAATTGGCTAAAAGAAGACATAATTTCTATAATAAGCTACATGTGAAATCTGGCAAAACAATTTATTATTATTATTATGTTTTTTATTTGAAGGTCAGGGCAAATAATTCACTTACTTTTGATGGACAAAGTTGCCTAGACTTAGCTCATTAGGTTCCAAGAGTTTCTGGTCTTTAACATAATTTTATTATACAGCTGAAAGCATCTATATATTCTCTTACTTACTTCTCTCCTCTTTGCTCATTTTCAAAAATAAAAAATGAAACACCACCATCACCACCACCAGCACAACAGGAAAACATGCAACACAGAGCCATTTACCGGAGTCCATAGAGAACTGTTCCATCAGGATGCAGTCGGATCATTCGATTTTTCACTGTAACCCCATGCACAAATGATTTCTTGTCATTCAGAAAGTAGGTGTCTGGTACCCACAGCTGGTCAGCTACCCTGTTGTCTAGCGTGAGATTTAGCGGGATTCCAGAATAAGAAAGCCTTTTGTCTTTCCAAGACTGCTGGAAATACATGGTGAGTGTATAATCCTGTGAAATAAAGGGAACCAAAAAAAAAAAAAAAGAATCTTACTATCATCATCATCTGAGGCTTTTAGTTAAGAATGTGATAGCATGTGGTATTCTGGATGCCCAGAGACCCACTGCTCTGCTGTTCTCTAAGAGGTTACATTTGAATACATTGGAATTTTCGCCTCCAGTATAGGGCAACTAGTAGGTTAGAAGCACTAGAACAATAATTAAATGTGGGGCAAATCCATTTAATTGAATTGTAAGGTCTGAAGCTAAGATAATGATATCATAGGGAACATCATAAAGGGAAGATGTACTGAGAGATCATGTTCACAAAAGTCTACTTCTGGATATTATATTTGCAGTACTATTTGGGAGGGGAATATTTACTAAATATGGATGCACTAAAAAGAAGAGCCTGTTTTCCAAACTGCAAATGCCTTTTGAATGAATAATGCTTATAAGGTCATCAATTCTCATTATCGGGATCTTTCTAGCAAACTGCAACTTGTCTATCAGCCCTGAAAAATAGTTCAGAAAGCACATTAATTGGAGATGTTTATTTGGCTGTGAACTGCTATCAGTGGTGGAACTGCTCAGTTCCTCTCTTCCCTCATTCCTGCTGTGTTTCAGGTTTGAATTGAGTGGGTTTGTACCTGAGTTTGTTTCTTCACCTTCTGTAAAAGGTTACATGAAGGGCATCCCTTTGCACTTTCTTTCTACCCAGGTTTCAGGCAGCAGTGAGCGACAGGAAGATTTGGGCTCATTAAGTGTCTAAAGCTACAGGAAAGGGACAGTGATAATTATCTTAGAGCTTTGTCGGTTTTTAAATACAATATACAGTGTTATTGCCTGTTAAAAATTAATAAATGGTAACAGTAAAATCCCAGAAGTCTTTAAGATGTGAGTCACAATATAATAAAATAGAAGGTTCACTCTTTCTTTTAAAGGGTATTTAACTGTCCATGGTGATTGTGTGAACACTTTAGCAATAGGTAAGAAAACACTGCTTAACTCTTGTACAATCTCTGCTGTTGTTGTGTATGCTACTAGTTCAGAAACTTTGACTTAGATCAAGCCTTATATCTGGGTAAACTGTACTTTATCTAGATCAGTATATGCATATTTATGCATTTATTAAAAATACAAAAAATAAGACAATATTTGTTCTGAATGATCAGCACCAGTGTCCTTTAACCACTATATTCATGAACACAAATACTATTTACTCTGAAACCATCTTGCAATGATTCAAAGCCATTCTTTCTTGTTCAATGGCAAGGACATTTGTTCTTCACTATTAATAGAAAATACCCCTTTTAAAGGTCTAAAACCTCTTTCTGTCTTATCTTCATTTAACAAAAAGGAGAACCTACAGGGTTATATGCACTTTTCTTCTGAATTATTACCATACTGATCCACATCCTTTTCAAGTTCTTAACATCATACCATTTTGGAGGAAAATGAATTGGACAGATTCTGGGCCTTCAATTCCAAAATACTTTTATTCCAAGTAAGCCACATGTAAAAGCTATATGACCATGACCAATTACCTTAATCCCCCGTGTGTCACATGCCTTATTTCTAAAATGAAAGTAATAGCATTTTACAGACTTATTGTGAGCATTACTTGGGAAAATGATGGTGAAGGTACTTTAGCAATTGTAACATGCTAAACAAATATATTATCTTCAGAATTGTTCATTGCTATTTAAAGATAGGATACTTCAAATTACTTGGAGTCTACATATTTTTTCATAAGCATTTCTGTTTTTAGAGAGATATTTATGAAAAAGCTTGTAGGCAGAAGGGCCTCTTGACCATGATAATAAGCAATTGTCTGTGATCAGTTCTAAGTCTTAGTGTTGGGTTCTTGTTTATAATTCAACCAATGTTAGAAAATTAATAATTAGCCAAAAATGTGTTACTGTAAACTTTGCCACAGGATTAGGGCAATGGGGTACATGTTTCGGTACTCACACAGGATTGTCATTAGTTTCCAGGTTCTCACTAGTACCACACAGGCTTTCTTCAAGATGAGACCATGAGGCAAAATCTTTACTCCACATTGTCTTCAATAACATTTTAATGTGTGATGTGGAAAAAAACTCATTATAGTAAAGTATGAAGGATTATATTAGCAAAATAATACTCTAAAAATAAATGCTATAATAAAAATACAAGTTGGTGGTAAGAAAACAACAGAGAGTGGAAAGGAGAAAATAATGTAAACATGATCTGTGTAGATTTAAGCAAGTGTTTGTGTGTATGTGGTGTATGTGTGTAGACTTCTTCCCTTCCTTTCAGGAAATTAGTTTGTTTCTTGTAGAGAGAGAACAATATGCATGTAGTGAGATCTTTGCTCTGTACAACTCTTTCTGTTTTCACTAAATATTGACTAAAAATCACATCATGGTTCTAAATTAGAGCAGTAATTTACCCTATTTGCAATAAGAAGAAATTCAGTGAAAATGTGTGCATGCTAGTACGTTACATTTGGAAGTGGTTCATGTGGGACAAGCATTCTTCAGAGCTTTATTTTGTGTGCATTTCTAGGATTATCTTAATTCAGGACCTGATTCTATGATAAATGAAAATATGGACGTATGAGGTTCATAATCTTAACAAAAACTTTTTAAGATAATGATAATTGTGTTGGTAATGATGAACATTATGGAAGCCCTAAAACACAGCAATATGTCCTCTGTGTGTATCTATATTATGCCACATGCATGACAGTAATCTGTCTCCTAGACATTGCTCTGTGCTCTGTGATTTTCATAGCCCTTCATATCTACTATCACATTTTGTTCTCACAACCTTATGAAACAGGCAACTAACTTATCTGTTAATTTATGATTCACATGTCTGAGAAGCTATTTACTCTATTTAAAATAAATCATTCTATCTGCACCTTAGTATAAATGTTAACAGTGACATCTGTATATAATAAAGCCTCTGATGTCATTTTGGTGTATCCTATTTTTAGATGGAAAACAAAGGCTGAACATTTCTGTATTCTCTTGTTTCATACAACAGATTTTCTATCACTTCTTTACTGGTCCAAAGTATAAGCACTCCAGGAAGGATGGAAAATTTTTCAGAAAGAAACTAAAGGTATTAATACTTTGGACAAGAACAGTAAAATCATTTTTCTTCCAGGTATATTTACAAGTGTTCAGCCAGCTTTCACAAGTGTGCAAGCTACTCCTTGAGAGGAAATGAGACATATTTAGCAACTACGGGCCATAGGGGATTCTTTGACACTAAGGCAAATTAATGGGATTAACAGGCGTGTGATTGTTAATGAAATTGGTCAGGCTAACTCAGGCATGAGAGAATTTGGTTCATTGAGGAAAAGCAAGATTGACAATACCAAATCAGTAGTGCTCGATTAAATTCCAAGAGGGCATACTTTTTAAATCTGAAAATGTTTTAAGATAAATTTTAAATCTAAAATCTAAAAAGTAGTAAGAAAATATTCATAACAAAAGTAATTCTTTTGGAGAATAAAAGTAACATTTTTATTAGATCAGAAGCTTTATACTCAGGGCAATTGTGTCCCCAGAGGACATTTAGCAGTGTCTGGATATAGTTTTGGTTGTCACAACTGGGGTAATGGTGTGTGCTCCTAGCATCTGGGAGCAGAGACCAGGGATGCTCCCCAATAATATAATACTGTGTGGCACAGCACATATACTAATGCATAATAATCCCAATATAATAATTCATGGACAGCAGAGCCCCCACAACAAAGAATTATCTGGCTCAAAATGTCAGTAGTTAGGGTTAAGAAACCCTGCCTTAGCCGAAAACATCTTTCTTCTTTAGTATCAGTAAAATATTTCAAAATCCTTTATCATTATTTATCATGAAAAATAATGTATGTTAGCATGTCTACTGAACTTTTAACATATCCCTCAAAACTTTGTACTAGAGAATGCTGGCATTAGATGGTTTGTAATTTGCCACTTTAGCATAAGAAATCATTTAATAAAAATCTGTAGTTACCTATCATTGGAATAAGGGAAAAGAGGTGTTTTAGACAAATATATTGAGGTATGCATTTTTTAAGAGTGACTCTAAGAAGACCTCACAGTGGGCTGGAAAAGTGAGAATCTCATATTAGCTGCCTCCATGACCAGCACACATCTCAGGCTAATTTGTTAGGGAAGAGACAAAATATCGATTTAATGTCTAGTAATATTCCATCCAGTCAGAAAGACCGTAAGAACCATCCTTCCTTTTCAAACTGCTTTTGCACACATTTCCATTGTGTCTTTCATCTGTTTGGATAGACATTATAAGGGGTCCTGAACACAACTTATAATCGTTCCCTGTATCCATGCCGGTTTAGCTGAACTCTGAGATCAGCTGCTTTCCCCAGAGGCCGATCACAGGAGATCAGCGCATCACTGCCCACCACTTCCGCAGTCCTTTCTGTGATAGAAACTGCCCTGCCGACAGCCCTGCTGACTGAGCACGGCCTTACTCTTTAGCCCATGTCCTGTCCTCCTCCCACCTGGGCACAGAGAGTAGATGTTTGATTTAAGAGCAGCCGATACAAAAGCAAGCAATAAACCTGTTTCTGCCTAAAAAAGATGGGATGCACCACATTCCACTCCCAGAAACTTGCTGTGGCAATAAAGGGCCTGAGACAGGCGCTGTAGGACCAAGTGCAGAGGTCATGACATGGAACTAGGGCTGCACTGCTATCATGAGGTCATGCCAGAGGAAAGACTAAGAAAAAAAGAGGAGGCCAGCCTGCAGAGGAAGAAAAAGAATGGAGCAGAAAATATTCAGAAGAAGAAGAGTCTGACATTGTTAGGGAATGAGTCAAGTTCATGAAGATTTTCTACTCCCTGTTTCTAGTTCCCGGGAGGTCTGGACATGTTCAACAGAACTTGTTCCAGGGGCTCTTAGAGCCCTCCTTGTGCCATTAAAGCACACTCCACTTTCCTTGTGCTAAGCTGACTCCTTTATTTATTTCAACCAGAAAAAGCCACAGTAATGATGCT